TCCTAGAGCCGGGAAGTTACGTAGGCACATTATGTGTCACGGTCAAATTCATGGTTCCTTTTGGAGAACCCTGTATAGTTCTACTCTTAAGACGACACCCTATACTTTGGGAAAATAGAAGAAGAGACCCCAAATTGGACAACGCCCTCCACTATTCTGGCCCCCAGGCAGGCAGATACCTCGCACTATTGACTTTCCTGGGGATGATATGAAAACTGCTCACAAAAAAATTGGCTTCACTGTCCAAAACAACAAATCTACACATTTTTGAAAAGTAGGTACCTGAACGGAAACAGAGGGACATCATCTTTCAGGCGAAACCCTGCCTCACCTGTTTTTGGGGACTACAGAGAGGCTTGGGTTGCTGAGTACCCTAAACCCTAAGTCTGCGGCATGCGTGTGACTCCGGACTCAGCAGTCGTGTTCACCGATATGATGGTGATGATAAAACCGAGACTAAAGTCATGATCCATCGCCTAGGCCATAATGGCCTCAATCTCGACACCATAACCCTAAACCCTAAACCGAATTTTTTGCCCTGAACCCTAAACCTGAATTATTAGCCCTAAACCCTAATTCTTGAATCGGAAATTTTTGCACCGACACCCTCAATCCTAAACTGGAATATTTAGCCCTAAACCCTAGACATCATATCGGATTTTTTATCCCGGAACCCTCCACCCTAAGCTGGAATCTTAGCCATAAAACCTGAAACCCCAAACCTTAAACCCTCGCGTTTAGCCCTAAACTCTAAGCCTCTAAGCCCTCAGCCCTAAACCTCAGTGCTTAGCTCTAAAATCTAAGCCCGACTGCAACTGTTGATGATATAAATCCTGCATGACCCATAATAAGGAATATGCCATAATTCCCACAGTTTAGGGCCCTTAAGGTAATGCAGGATTTCTATCATCAACCGAAGCGTTTCAGGCTCGGGCTCCCGGGCCGAACAATTAATACAAAGTCCACACTCGGTCGGGTTTTGGGTTTCGGGTTATAGGTTATAGGGTTCAGGGTTTTTAGGGTTTTAGAGTTATAGGGTTTTAGGGTTTTAGGGTGTGGGGCTTCGGGCTTTGGGGTTTCGGGCTTCAGGGTTTTAGGGTTAAGAGTTTTAGGGGTTTGGGGTTCAGGGCTTAGGTTTTTGGGTTCAGGGGTTTAGGGGTTCAGGGTTTAGGGTTGCGGGCTAAAGGTTTCAAGTTCAGGGGTTTAGGGTTTAATTAGGGTATTTTGGGTTTAGGGTTTAGGGTTTTGGGGTTCATGGATCAGGGTTTAGGATTTAGGGTTCCACCTAGAGCACACAAAACACGACCAAGAACGAACGTCTAGAACACATGGCGCCCAAAACCTGACGTCACCCAAAACTAAGGGCTTCAGAGGCTAGGGTTTAGTGAGTTAGGGGTTCCTCCATTCAGATCCAAGTCCCACAACCGAAATCGTTTGTTCAATCCACGGGCCTCACGAAGCGAGTAGTTGCACTCAATAGGCCAGTGAGTTGCGCTCCACATCCTGGTAGAATTACAGGGAACTCCAGAAAGTTGGAATATGGTTTCATGGTAGGATACCCTATAATTTACCATAGAAGGGTTAGGATAATCATATTCCAACTTACTGGCTTTTACCTTAAAGAGTTCCTGTATAGGGGGCCGGAGTAGCTGGAAACTTTATTGATGGGGTTCCGCATTGCATGGTCTCTTGCAAGACGCGGGAGTCACGGCTATGGAAACAATTTGGGTTCGCAGTCCGCCGTCGAGGGTCGACGGCCTCAGCTTCAGATTCGGTTGCAACGGTTTAGGGTTTAGGGTTTCGGAAGTTGAACAAATCGCTGCTTGGGCGGTCGAAATCAACATTGGCACATCTTGTGTACTTAACTTCGGTATGTAACCGTTCGTACTTCAATGGCTATGTTGGCTTGAGCTCTCCAAGGCTGCGATGACCGTTCCTTTGTCAGGCGTCCAAAGGATGAACAGTTTTCGTGTCACCCTAAACCCCTAAACCTCGGCCCGAAGACAGGGTTTACGGCTTAGGGTTTCGGAGCCCCCAGAGAAGTCTGTGGCTTGTGGTTCCAGCCTCACCTCTGGTTTGGGGTTTGGGGGTTAGGGCTCACGGTTTGCGAAATTTTCAAAGGCAACCAAGAGAAACCAACTTGCAGAGAAGCCATTACTTTTCAGCAACATCGGCCCTGCGTCTGCGAACCCTTCTTTAATATGAACCCTATTATGGGAACCCTAATCCCTACTAAACCCCCATAGGCTAAAACCCCTTTTGGCCTCCCATGATTCCCCAAACCTATATATACTGAACTTCGAACCCTAGCAACAATTACAATTTTAGCTGTTTCTTAGGGATTAAAATAACCAACAACTGAAAATTACTTCTAAGTACCCCTAAGAAACTATGCCAAGCGGTGTTGCAGCTTGAAGCCGGATGCCGCCATGAGTCTTTGTGGATCCAGTGGCCGCCCTCCTCCGGGTTTAGGGTTTAAGGTTTAGGGTTGGTAACACGATTGGCCTTCGGGTCTCTGGCGCGCAATATGCCCGTGAGAATTGGCATGAACTTGTCCAAACTGTTCAATGTTACCTAAACTAGGACCTAAACCGCAACCCCTTTAGACCTTAACCATGCCAAAACCGTATAAATGCTAGACCCTAATGCGAATCCTGAGGAAACGTATTGGCAATATTCTGGTATAATATGTATGGCCTCGGCAAAGAAAATGCACAAACACTGGTAATGGACACTCTACAAAATGCAAGACTCTCGGGGCCCCATGTAACGGCCGGAAACAATCGTCCTACTCAGCCCGCCTGCACCCGAAACCCTAAACCTTAAACTCTAAACCCTGCGCCCGAAGCCCTAAACTCTAAAGTCTAAACCCGAAACCTTAAACCCCGGTCCTGAATCGTCTGGATGAAGTCGGCTCTCACGATCCTCGAATGGTGAGCGCAGCTCTGCGGCCCCAGCCGGCACTATCGGGGCCCTTAAAAATTACCAAGAGGGTGTCGGGGTATATTATACTATATTTAGAAGAAAAGAACCCCCAAGGTAGTATATTCAAATTCTTTGGGCCCTATGGTAACAGAGATCAGCACATGGACCGACCGATCCTTCGGCACTTACCGGCACCCTTTGCGACTGCAGAAGTTTCAACTTCGCAGTCACCCAAAGCAGACTGACTTGCAGCAGAACCAGTTCCCCAAAGGCTCCATGTACCCATATAGTATATCTTAGGCCTTAAAGTACCTATATAGGGACCACTTTAAGGCTTAAGTATTTACTATGATATGACGGTACATGGAGCCTTTGGGTTCAATTTTGGTCGGTGTTAGAACATGAAGGTACTTGATGCAAAGCTGGGCAACAGTGTGCAATAGAGAATGCCAACACATGGCACTGTACAACGTTCGGAATCAGACGACAATGAGCGTAACAGTAGCAGTACTGTAGCCATCATATGCTGCGGGTATACAAATGCGTGCGTCCGAGTAGTAGATGCGACCCTATGTAACTCATCACGGCCGTGCATGTCTGCACCTCTGCGGACATACGTATGCTGTATTTACATTCACGTGGAACAACAATGAGCAACTCTTGAAGCTTTCGGCGTATACGGCCACGCCAGCAAGAGGCATCGATGCCGCGCACGCCGCAGGCAGAACGAGTGCTGAGTGAGGCGAAGGTCAAGACCAGAAGTGGCTGCATGCGTTTCTGCATTCATGCTCATGTCGTAGACACCGCCGGCGCTGTCGCAGAGATCTTCAAGTATTCCAGCAAACCCCTTTGTGGATTTGCTGAGACAACCTGAGCAGCGGAGCAGCGCAGCTCATCTTCAAAAAAAGCACGTGTGCTCTGTTGGCACACGCCGATCACATAATCAGTGCCGCTCAAGCCAGTACGTTGAAGATACTTGCATAGCACCAACTTTTCAAATCATCTACCGCTGGGAACACTGCATGTGCATTGCACAGAAACGATCTAGACCAGACTACCAAATGAGCCGTACGACGAGGGCTACACCAGACCCAGCGCTGGGCGAATGTGAGACAACTGCATAAAGCCCCACAAGGCCGCGCATGGCAATGCTAGCTCATGATCCGGAGCCCATCCTGTCCGGGGGAGTCCTGGAACTGTAAAAGCATGTATGTATAGGTGCGTGCACATGTATGTGTATATGTATGTGTACATGTATATGTATGTGTGCATGTGTATGTGTGTGTACAGTATGTACATGTATATGTACATGTATATGTACATGTATATGTACATGTATATGTACATGTATATGTACATGTATATGTATGTGTGTATATATATATATATATATATGTATGTACATGTGTATGCGTTGGTGCAAACAAAGGTGTATGTGTATGCACATACGTGTGGTGTGTGTGTGTGTGTCTAGTGTAGACTACCGAGGATACTGCCTGTAGGTCTTGCAACCAACCAATATATACATATATATATATATATATATATATACGTGTATATATATATAAGTGTGTGTGCTTATATCTTTATATGCCTTTATGCATATACACATAAGCATGAACATGTACGTTTGCATATGTTGTATATGCATTTTTTACACGTAACCTATGATACATATGTATATACATATATATATATATATATATATGTGCAGATGTACGTTTTACATGACCTACATAAATGCCTACATGCATACATGCATGCATGCATACATGCACCCTTGCATGCATGCATGCATACATACATAGATGCCTCCATGAATTGCTACATATGCACGCATGCATGCATGCAACAAGTGTACAGAGAGGCATGCACACACACACACAGACAGACGGACGGACAGACAGACAGACAGACAAACAGACGGATCTACACATGTGCAACTTTTTATACATGCAGATTGTATGTGTATATATTGCATGTCGTCTGTAGATCAAGCAAGGATTGTCTAGAACACAAGGTACATTCGCTCGATCAGGCACACTTTCGCTCTCAGGCCTTCGTTGCCGTGTGTATCAAGGCTCCTCCACAGGGGTCCAGCTGCCTGCATCGGAGCCTTTGCGCAAGCATCACAAATGACTACTTAGTTGTAAACGCCGAAAAGCTCTGCTGGCGAGAATGCAAAGCCGCATTGATTCGGTTCGAAACCTAGACAGCATGCATTCACCTGCGCAATCGGTCGTCAGTGTGTGCTCGAGTAGAACCCACAAACATCTCTCCAACGCTTGCACAAGATGAGGCAACCAGAAGCACTTGCCCATGCAATGCATCAAATCTGAACTGTCGAGAACTATTCCGATTCTGGCCTCCGTTCTTGCGCAGCCAATCCCTTAGCTCCGGCTCTAGTGTAGGGGCCTACATAATTAGAGAAGGGTTTTGGGTTTCATTACATTGTAAATATAATTGGGAAGCCCCCAAATAGTATCGGTAATGATTTAGGCCCCCTATATTGGTCTGATTGCGCGCTGATAATTAGAAAAAACCAACGCTTCAGAGTATCCCAAGAGTTCCTGGATCGGTGGCCCAAACAATCTTTTGCTTCGAGTCCACTAAAGTTTAGGGTTTAGGGGCTTAGGGTTTAAGGTTCAGCAGCTCCGGATCGAGAAGTTTTCCGTAGAGTTGTGTTTACGTTTAGAAGTAACACCCACCACTAAGAATCCCATAACATTAAGAAATAAAAAGGTTTACAATTATTTTCAGCTTAATTCAACATAGCTAACTTCACTTTATGATGTTACATTTATCATGCTTTATAAAGTATTGACCACAGGTTAAACTACGGTTAAACCCTACAATAAATGCATGCAGGTTACGGACTTTGTGCAATACTACAAAGTTCATAGTAGTGGTTGTCAGAGTAAACCCTAAAATAAAAGTGTTGTCGCAACGACTTAATCCCCTCCCCACCCTCGGACACCCTATCATGTCAGCGAAATGGCCTTGCCAACGAAGATTTGGGCCTTGTGTTTGGGCCTTGTCCAACGATGATTTGGGCCTTGTCCAGCGAAGGTCCAACGAAGGTTTGGGCGATTTGGGCCTTATCCAACGAGATTAGGGTTCATATGGTAAAGAGGTTTAGGGTTTTTATTAGAACAGGGTTTTCGGTTTCATTATATTGTAAATATAATTGGGAAGCCCCAGAATAGTAAGTATTTAGGCCCCTATATTGGTCTGATTGCGCGCCGATACTCAGAGAAGAACAAAGCTTCAGATGATTTCAAGAGTTCCTGGATCGGTGGCCAAACACTCTCTTGCTGCGAGTCCAGTTTCGATATCGGATGATTTTGGTATTTATTGCGACTTCTATGTTGCCGTCATCAGAACCGTGAGCCCTAAACCCTGATCCTGCAGCCGGCGGTCTCCTGCCATAGCTTGAAATCCACATTCATCTGTTCATACTTCGAGTTGATGGCCTGAGCAAACAGCCAAAAACAAATCTATGTGAATGGACTTTAAGCTCCGTCGACTTCCGACTTCTCGAGTTCGGCAAGGTTAAAGACCAAAGCCGAAGTACGCGACAGCAAGTTGAGATGTTGCATGGATGCTTGCACGAATACTTGAACTTGCATGGGCCGTAAACATGACGCTAAGGCTGTTGCCTCGGCTGGATTCGCACTAAGTTTTAAGCAGAGGCTGGTAGTTGTGATTGCGCCCTACACTGGCCGTGGTTCTTCCAACTATGTTCGCACGCGGACCCACCCTCCCTTGTGCAAGAAACCCGACCGGCCCCGAAGAGGAGAAGTGCGACTACAACTCCTGATGCTGAACTGTAAGAGTAGAATTGGTCAGCCGTTAGTCACTACCACACATGAAAGTAGAGAGGGTCACAGCCGTCCGTACCGAGGAGACCTACTGCATCCTGTTGCGCCGTGTTTCAGAAAGCAACACAGAAGGGCTTTTGAAACCGCAACTTTCAAAGGGAACCGACCAGGTGACTGGATGCTACAGCCAGACAACATGATAGCCGTGTAAACTTGAAAACAGCTTCTCACGCGAAGCTTGTGTGCAATCGAAAAAATCGGGGCAGAAGAAAAGTTGTAAAACGTAACCACAACGCAAACGAATCCTTGCTAGGACAACTCGGAGCTCGAAGCTTTGCAAAAGCGTGCAAAAAGGTCTGCTTCTACACCCACTGGAAACCCTGCCTGGGGGCCAGGATGTACAGTAGGCTTCTTAGTTTTTTAGACACCGCGCACAAGGCCCAGGCTTGGCTTCTAAACTGTACGTACCGAAATCCTGAGACCATTAAGGTAGTAGTGCGGGCTTCCGCATTCGTCACAAACCTGTGTCCAAGGCCGTAAGGTAGGTTCAGTTGGGTAGGCTTCGACATTTCGACATTCCGATGCATTGGTTGTGCTTGTCGCTTCAGATATGGGTCTACTGTTGGATGGACACCCGAAGTCGCAGCCAAGAAGGACCTGCCTCTTGGATCAGCGTCTTGATATCCGGCATCTGCTGCCTTGATTGGCACAAGCATACGCCAAGCCTACCCCACTAAGCTGCTTCCTCACCACCCCACAAAGCATGCACGCAAGAGACAAGGGAGCCAGAGCTCCCCTTGGTTCCGATCCCTAAACCCTAAACCCCAACCCCTAAATTAGACATAAAACCTTAAACCCTGAACCCTAACCCCCAAACTCCCTGAACGCAAAACCCTAAACCCCTAAACCCTGAACCCTAAACTCCCTAAGCCAGATCCTTAAACCCAAGACTTCCCTGAAAGCATCGTAGCAAGGGCGAGACACTGGAGAGCCAGCGCCGAAGTTCCAGATGCATCCTGGAAATGGCGAGAATATACGAAGGTTTTGGGTTTCGGGCTCAACTGGCAGATGTTACATGGATCCCTGCCTGTGGGAGCAAAAGCTGTTCAGCTGCAGCAGGGGCCATAGACATGATCTTGAGGTCGCCGTAGGCGTCGTCGACAAGCGCATGCGCCTCTGTCGATTGGAAAGCGGCCTCGTCAACCACGAAGCCACAGTGGGCCAGCTCCAGGAATGAGTCTTTCTGGGCTGCAGCCTTTCCGATGCGGGTCTTCAGCTGCTCATGCGCGGCTGCGGCATCTTCGATGTCGCACTGCACCGCCTCGACATCATCGCGTAGCCCGGCTGAACGCTCCGACACACGGTGAGTGGTTTGGCCCTGGTTCCACAGCTGCCGTGTTCTATCCAGCTCTCCCTGAAGACGCCCCTTTGCGTCCTGTAGGTCCTGGAGTTCTGTGGCCACCTCGCCCTCAGCTCGGCTGAGCAAGGCCTGCACCAACAAGATGTTCTCGAAGGCAATCGTGCAAGGCTTTGGCCCATGCTGGAGCACCGCCGTAGCCGCCACCTGCACTCATTACAACTGGGCATAGTATCGCAGGTAGACATCATTATCAGGCATGAGCAGTAACAAGCTGCATGTCTAAGGCACGCTCACATCGTTGCGGAGGGCTTCTTCGGCGGATGCCAGTGCTTCGCAACACCCTTGGCAATCAGCCCCTGCAAGGGCCGCAGCATCTGTGCAAGCCTCCAGCTTGGACTCCACACTGGTGATTTCATCCTGCAGCACGTCCAGGGCGGCATCTTGAGCCTGTAGCTTCGTTACTGCATCGGTGTATGCCGGTGCCACTCTGGCCAGCTCGTCCAGGACCTTCCGCAAGTCCGAAGCCGCCTTGGCCTTGTCTTCTGCTGACTTCTGCCGGATCTTTTCACAAGCTTCCATCTGTAGCTTTCTGGTAGAAAGGTGATCTTTCAAGCTCTGAGACACGTTGTCAAGCTCAGTCTTGCAGACAGCCGTTTCCTGTTCACGCGTCTTCATGGTCTCAGCTACTGCCGCAGCTGCATAGATGTCCTCTAGTTTCATGGGCCGCTTGCTCGCATGCAGAATCTGATCCGCAACTTCTGAACATTTCGCTCGTCGCTCAACTATCCGGGAGCGCGCGATCTCCCGAAAAGCTACTGATTTCTGATCAGCGCGCATGTTCTTTACGACATCTGCTGCGTGCGAAGACTTAAGGACTTCGTTGCGAGACTTGCCCTGATCGGGGTCAAGGTCGAGAAGCTGCTTCGTCCGACTCTTGACGTGCTCAAGCTCTCGGCGAACATCCAACAGAGCTTTCTCCTCAGCTCCTGGATCCTGTGCCAGCGAAGCAGCCTTAACACTGCTGACGCGCCCACTCTCTGCTAATGCGCTGGCCGTGCTATGATTCTTTCGCTCAAGCGCCGCCTTCCCTTTCGCCTGGATGCCCTCGACACTCAAAGTATCTGGGGAAAATTTGAAGTCGCTCAAGGTGCATGGATCATCTTGCGATCCGTGTTCTGAGTGGTACGTCACCAATGCCTCCACCACTTGCTGCTTTGTCAGCCCGCGTTGGTCCCCTTTTGCTAAGGCTTCATTCACCTCGCCGGCAAAGCGGAAGCTACGCTAAAACTGGAATGTGGGGACACAGCTCTCACGAAGACCCCCTTGCAGGGCATTATAGGGTTCTGTAATAGGGTCCCCTTCGCGGGTAATAACTTTTGGGCTCTATAAGTCTATACAGTTAAGACTTGAATAGAATCCTCGGTACGGGGACTCAAATCTCCCGCCTGCTTCTCGCGCTGGGCAACTTTTTGGACCATCGCCGAGGCTCCCTCCATGATCTCATCCCAAGCCTTCGGCAAGGCCATGGCCAAGGCAGGCAATGGCTCGGATCCGGACTTTCCTACGTTGCGCGGCTTGAGCTCGCAAGTGCTGCAAGACCTGTCCATGAGGGTGAGCAAGTGCATCCCGCGTGCATCACGGAAATGGACAAAGTGGACACACTATCTACCTAGACCCTCCTTCTACCCTCTAGTAGACCCTACATACCCACTATTAGGGACCATATACCCCTATTTGAGGTACCAGGAGGGTCCTTGTAACCTGTTCGTCGAAAGTTGCTTCGCATCAGATGCAGCTCCTCCCCACTTCGCACACGGAACACAACTTTCCAAAGCCTCCTGCAAATTGCATCTTTTTAAATCTGTGCAGCATGCCTCGTGAGATTGATGTTGCACATTTCATGCCAGCTCGCATGAGGAAGTGTGGACACGAAGAGACCTGACAGGCGTCTGGAGTCTCAAATATTTTGATAATTTAAGATAGCGGGATTCTGTCAGGCATCACGAGGCAATGACCGGAATTTCAAGAACGCTCGGGCTCAGAAGCCTGGCATCACCTTATGAAGTGCGACGGCAAGCCCTCAAAGCCCACCCTCTGTAAGCCTCCCAAACCCAGGCTCTACGTCATCACCATACACCCGAATCTGCCCCCAACCCTAGACCCTGAACCCTGAACCCCTAAACCCAAACCTTCGCTTGCTGCATTGGCCCAGAATTTGCAGAAAGGGAAGCCACGGCGTCGCCTCAGCGCTTCATGAAGCCTTCACCCATTGAACTGTAGGTCGGTCATGTACCACTCCTCTGGTTCAGGCTTAGTTCTTGGGCAGGGGTCGGGTCTTTGCGTTGATGATTTAAGCCTCTGCACTTGTTGCGTACACGTGGGTTCCAGGCTGCAGCTATTTGGACTTGCGGGCACGACTACGGCAAGCCTTCGAAAGTAGAACATCAAACTGATCGTGCATTCCTCGCCCCGCGTAGCATTGTTTCATGACTGTTCACTGCTCAGACGACCCCCACATCAGCCTGGAACTCAAAACGAGGAAATCCAAAACGGCATGTACCCTAAACCCTTAATCGCTGAACCCCTAAACCCTCAACCCTAAACCCCGAACCCCTAAACCCTAGAACCCCTGCAACCTGGAAACCCCTATACCCGTAAGCCCCCTAAACCCTAGACCCTAAACCCCTAACCCCCAAAACCCATGTAGATCCCTTTAACGGAAGCCCCGTAGATCCCAAAAAAGGAACCCTTAAGCACCCCAAGTCCATCCTGGTGGATCTCTTGCCACGCAGTTAACCATTCCATTGCCGATGCTGGAGCACCCTTGTCGGGGTGCACCCTGACAGCCACGGTTTAGGGTTTAGGGTTTAGGGGTTTAGGGTTTGGGGTTTAGGGGTTTAGGGTTTATAGGGTTTGGGGTTTCGGGGGTTCGGGGGTTCGGGGTTTCGGTTTTGGGGTTGAGGGGTTTAGGGTTTAGGACCCTGCATCCGGACGCAGTTTACAGATGGCGTTGAGCTCAGGGTTTGGGGAGTGTAAGGATCACTTGAAGATTTTACGGGGTTCTGCTTCAAGCACCTTGCAGGGTCTTGCAACGTGGCTTGTTTTGTTGGGAACCATGCTGTCATTGCCGGAGAAAAATGAACGTCAAGACGCATCCCAACTTTAGGTTAAGTTGGACCTGTTGGCGGTGGAGCCTTGCGACGCTTCACTCAACCGGACCAGGTGGTCTTTGGAGGGCAGTACAATCTCAAACGGTGCTGAACACCACACCTGACTAAATTTATTTTTTTTATAAACTTTATACCGTGTTCACGGCACTTGCTCCCCCTAAACCTTAAGCCCCTCTTCCCCCTGCTCCCACCTCAGATAGAGGGATTTCAAGAACTTCCTCTTCTCTTCTGGCGGCTTGCTTCTTGAGGCCACGAGCTCCTTCTCCAGCTCAAGGGTGATCCTCCTCAGGGTTTAGGGTTTAGGGGTTCAGGGGTTTAGGGTTTAGGCACCAGGATCCAGGGCACCCTGAAAACATCATGAACGGGTGACACGACCACAACAGGTCGATATGTGAAATTTTGTGACCGTGCACACGCACAGAAACTACTACTGCTACTATTACTACGACGACGACGACGACTACTACTACTACGCCTACTACTACTACTACTACTACCACCACTACTAGCAGCTAAACATGTCATGCAGGGGTGCTCAGAAAGCTTTATCAGCACATCAACCCTGAACCCTACATCCAAAATCTACTATAGGGGCCTGAAAATTAGAATAGAGTTTTGGGGCCCATTATACTATAATCATATTAAGAAACCCCCAAAATAGTATTAATGCCCCTATATTATAGAACAGTGCTATAGATCCCTTATAGACCCCTTCAAAGACCCCCTTTGAAGGAACCCCAAAATAGTATGGGTATTGATTAACGCCCCTATAGTACTGTCCTGGACTCCGGATCGGCCGGATGAGGCGGCTTGCTGAAGATCGCGCCATTGCTGTCCAGCAGTGGCGTTCTGGTGGTGGCCAACACCGGCCTGACAAAATGAAGGTAGGGGCCTTAATAAGTAGACTAGGGTTTTGGGGGTCCTTTATAACAATTATAATTAGGAACCCCCAAAATAGTATACGTAATCATTTAGGCCCTTATATTACTTAAAGCTGGTTCAGGTTAGCAGGGCTTCGAGCAGGATGGTGTAGTGCTCAGCCAAGCTTGAGCTCTCAAATTCTCAGCTTGGGGTACCAGCTTAAGCGCTGCGATGTTGCACGCTAAACCCTTCAGGGCTGCTCCAGCCACTCCAATGTAGGGGCTTTAATGATTGGAATTACTCTGCTTCTTACGACTTTCAAGGGCCGCCAAGAACAACGCCGGCCACAAGAAGCAGAGGACGAACTCAAGCTACAATGACATCTAGTGCCGAAACCAACTCAGCGGTTCAAACACATTGACACTGTACGAGACACACCATGACACACTGTGTGTGTGTTTCAACATTTGCAACCGCCGTGGTTGTTGCAAAGCGCACTTGCTGCACGTAGCACAACGAAGACATTACACTCTTGTACCATGCAGCTCACAAAATGCACACACTGCAGTACAGTCATCGTATTAGCTCTGACGTCATCAACCACTTGAACTTGGCACCTTCACCCCTGTAGTCCCATGGTAGCTACATCTTACCTGGATCAGAGAGAACCTGCTCACCTGGACTAAACGAAGATGAAACACTCAGAACGACATGAAACAGACCACATGTCTCTCGTCGCTTTGGAGGTGGGATGACTTCGCGACTAGCTTCAGGGACATGAGCCCGGAACCACAGACATCTAAAACAACAAGCCTGTTCCCACTGTCAGCATGCGTTGACGAGCCCAGCGTCGCCGAAGCCAGCGGATCTGCAAACAGGTTTATCGTTAGTTCAGATTTCGACATCATGGCGATTGCAGTTTGGAAATTAAGGGCTTGGAGTTCTGCTTCCAATGGCCAAGGTGTTGCGGATTGGACTCGTTCATCTAGTAAGGACTGTTCGTCAACCACCGTCAACCCTTGGTCACCACGCACTTGCAAAGCTCTTATATTCAAGCACAAAGCTTTCACAGCTCTCGTAGGCAACTAGATGGGTGGTTGTCAAAATTATGGTCCCTTTTTGGGTAATTACCCTAAACCCCTAAATACTAGGTGCCGTATTATAATAGGGACCCAAAAAGGGGACCATAATTTTGACAACCACGCAGATGGATGCTCCAAAGTCGCCTCCAGCATCGCCATGGCTGTGCGGCCGTATCCGACGCACCATGTTTCTGCTTGGAGGGTCGGGGGACTTAGTAACTATAACGGGTTCCTTTATGGTTCTATAAGGGTATAGGGTTTCGGGTTTAGAGTATGATGCTTTCGTCTCTACCAGCAAGACCTGTAGGCATCAAAGTAGCCGCCTCGAGAGGCAGTCGTCGGCCCAGCTCCAGCAGAACTCCGCCTGCAACGCTTGCAACTAAACGCGGGCAGTTGTCCACTGAACGCGGAGAGGTCGCAGCAGCACTCATTGACACACCGTGCCTTGTCCGGTCCACAGAAGACTCGCCGGAAGTGGCAGGAATGTCCACAGAAGGTTCAACATGAAGCATGCTGGTCTCGCCTGACATTAGTTTCCGCAAGCATCTGAAGCTGAGAGTGGATAGAGCCACCAGCAGCAACCAGATGCTAACTTGTCCAGAGCGGAAGTACCGCAAGCAAAGCCAAATCAACCAGAAACACGCGATGGCCACAGCCAGATAAAGGTTATGGTCATGACCGTGCTCGGACGATGATGAAGCCAGTAGTGCACATGCTGACAGTGACAAAGATTTTGGATGCGAAGAAGAGGTAGTTGTTGTTGTGGATCATGGTGATGATGGTGATGGTGATATTGATGGTGACGAAGATGAAGAAGATGATGATAATTGTGATGATGACGGTGATAATGGCGATGATGATCATGCCGACCATCATGGCCAGGAGGGGCATGATGGGAATGATGGTGGATATATGATTCTGTATGATGGTGGCAATGCAGATGAACATGGCTAGACTGTGGGTTAGGCTGATGATAACAGACTTCGGAAAAGATGACGATGACCTCGAAAATGATAATGCGTCTAATTGACTAGAAACGGACAGTATGACGAGGCTCAGGATAAGGATGGTGCTTGTCATGAATGACAATCGATGATGAGGGTCGTGCTACACTGCCCGACGAGGCACCCAAACTGTCGTCGGAATGGTCGATGGTGCACACAGCAGCAAGCCTGAACACGTTACATCTGCTTCATTGCTTTGCCGCGAGTTCTTGCCAACATGCAGAGAACTGAATCCCAAACCCCACACCCTACCCCTACCCCATACCCCTACCCCTACCCCTACCCCTGCATCCCACACCCCACACCCTACCTAGCCTCGAAGAGTCGCACGCTGGGCCCCCAGTCTCGCTACGCTCAAGAGATGGGATGTCCTTGCCGATATCTTCCTTACTTGTCCAGTATCCTAGGGTTTTTAGGGGTTCTTGACAACTGAAGCTTATTAGTTGGAATTCTGAAGGGGTTTACGACGCCCAACAAAGCTTCAAGGTCTACTAAGTGACTAAGCTGCCCTGCCGGCGTCTGAGCCAGAAAATGTCCAGGTTGGCATCACATCCGCGAGGTGTGCTTCCAAAGTCGCCAGGTGTGACCTGGCCCATGAGACATGGTAAGAGCCCACCGTCCGATACCACAGAATCCTACCGCACCCACATCCAAACCCAGTGTTTTCTGAGACCCTAATGCCTCAGCCGTGACACTTCCACGTCAAGATCCTGCTTCAAGCCAGCACTGAACTTCGACAGCATCTCGTCCGGGACAAGCACGGAGTCAAGGCTGCGCTTTACATCTCGCAATTCTCGATCTGATCGGTTCTGCTGAGATGTTAGGCGTGACTCCATCATTACCTGCAGCTCTTCTGTCGCATCTTGCAGCCTCGTCTCCAATGTGCTTATTCTCTCCTCGGCAGGTCTGTCATGTAAGTTAAGCTCTCAGCGAAAAAAACACGAAAACAAACTACCACCCGTGCCGAGAGTCTGCCTGCGCAGAGCACTGCATAGAAAGGCGGCGTAAACTTGTCTCCAGCGGTGTCACTTTCAGATGTATCCTCTCGTTGAGCTTATTCTCCAAGTCTTTCTGGCTAGTACCCAGTAAGGACGAAAACATGTTCCAGATTCCGCCACTGTCTGCTGTGGTGTGCCGGTCGCAAACCGGCTCTCTGAACCAGCCGTCGTCCACTCCCAGGGAGTGCGGAAGAATCGCATCCAGCGTGCGAGCCTCCTTCTCCTGCAGAGTTGAACCATCTGACTTCCTCCAGATGTAGTGATACCTGGACCCTAAAGAACCTACGTTTTTGGGGTTTCGTAGTATGATTGCCTTATCTTGGTCCCCAAAAAGGAAGGCTATTTAGGGTCTAGGTACTCACCAATCGTTCTCGGATCCACTTCGCACCACCAGAGAGGAGGGGATCCATGACATAGGTTCATGTCAAGGAACACGCCAGTGTTGCCTGGCTTGCCTGATCGAGGGCATTGAGATGCAGCAGTCTCGCTCGCAAAGTACGATGAGGGACCTTCCAACATGCAAAATATTGTGGCCGAAGCTTCGATGCAAGTACATTCAAAGAACTGCGTCTAGGGCCTCTGCCTAAACTCGGAAAGGACATTGGGAGGCCTGTGGGGGAGCCGGGGATATGAGGGGGGTAGGGTAAGGTTGCTCTCTAGGAACTCGGCCCCACTGAACCGGTGATCCGAATCATCCCACAGTGTCGTTTCCAACTATCGTGTTGTACATTCCCTAGTACCTTTGCAACATTTTGCCCCAGTGAAGGATTTATCAACTTACAACAATCATGTCCGGCGTGCTCCAAATGCATGCCTTATATTGTTCGTCCGGCGCTGGACTGGAACCGTTTCCTCTTGGTCCGTGGACCGAATGCCACCTATCTCTATGGAGCAAGGCAAACCGCGACTAGCAATCACCTGGTTGGCATCGCTTGCCGTACGCTGACCATGAAAGTCACGGACTCGTTGCAAATCTCTTCCGCCACGAATCCTCAAATCCCAGACATTCACAACGGGTCCGCAGCAAGCCTCTGGCCTGGACACAGGCATATCCAATCACCCTGCTCGGTGTGGGCCTTCAGCTGGATCTTGATGCGACTCACCTTGCAAGGAGCACCCTGTCTACACAGCAATTTCAGTATTGCATGCTCCATATGATCCTTACCCCTGCCAGCCTGCTCCGCGACCCCCGCTGGTTGCAAGGACGTTGGGCTGTCTAGCAGCCCAGGTGTGGATGGGGCCGTCATCATGTGCTGCGAAACCACTGGGCTTTCACAAACCGTCCAGCTGTTCTTCACAACGCTCGATTTACACTGGCGAACATGCCGTGATGTAATGACCAGTAGAATCTTCACAAGACTACAACTTGGAAGCATCCAATCATGCCCCTGCCACCCTTTCGAGCCAAGTTCAAAGAAGCTGTGCACTCATTCGAGCGACAGGCTGGATAGCATAACTTGTTCTGGGGCCCCTCATCCTACCATGACAGTATCAGAAATGTGCATTGCCGGCAGCTCTGGCAGCCCCAGTAACATGCTGTCGAGCTTGGGACTGTGACCTACACGCCTTGACATTACAGAAGCACACCTGTCGGGCTGCTACTATAGGCGCCTTAATAACTAGAATAGAGTTTGGGTGGGATAAGGAATCCCAAAATAGTAGAGGTAATGATTGGTAAGGCCCCTATATGGGAGTTTCCGAAATTAGGGGACCCTAATCTGGCACCCTAAAAAGTAGGATCCTTATCACAAGAACCCCCAAATAAGGTACCCCCTAATTTTCGGAAACTCCCATATTATGCCGGCCGGAGTCTTCCCTCGCCGCTGATGCCACAGACCACCTCGCTCCTCGACAGGGTCGTCCTTGGACACACCATGTTCCGGGACCCTAAACCCGGACCCGCGGCAGGATCGAGAAAGTAGATCCCCTAATTTGGTTCCCTATACCACTGGGGGTACTTTTTTCGGAACCCCCATTAAGGGATCTACTTTTTGGATCCTTCCGGGGAGAGCCAGGGTACAGGATCGAGGGCCGGAGCCCTGAACCCTCAAAAAAGCCTTAAAAAAAGTGGACACCCCACACTCTGGGCCCTGAATCCAGACCGGCGGCTATGCGCAAGTAGACGCCCTCCAGCGGACCGTCCGAGAAGGCAGAGCCTTGCTCAAGGAATGCCTCGCAGGGATTCTTCTTGCTAGGCTCAAGCGCTATGATTCTTGGTGGCTTAGGTGAACCGGGAACCTTGGCCCAAAAAGTGTCACCCAGAGACTCCAATATCCCTTAACTAAGAAATATACCTCCAATCATATTCGGGAACCTACTATAATTTAAGGTATATTCCTTAATTGAGGGATATTGGAGTCTCTGGGCATGAACCCTGGAGAGGCCCTGAACCCTGTAAACCCGAAGCTCTAAACCCGAGCCGAGGTCTGGGGTTCAAAGGTTTCGGGGGCGCAAATCCACGAAACCAAGCGATTACCTGGACCCCCAAAATATGTAGAATAGTAGCCTTCTCCTTGGGTTTGGGCCATTATTCTACCTACTTTTGGGGATCTAGGTACGATCAGCCTCCAAGCATCAATCCTGCAACTGCGTCAGCTTGTGACCCCACAGGGACCCCAACCCTCTAAACCCCACACCCCAAGTTTGGAAACAGAAACTCCACAAATGCCGAACCCTGCAAACCCTGGACGGCTTTCAGGGGCTAAACGCCTTACCCTGCAAAACCAAAACTCGCACAAACCCTGAACAATCCTAGCTGCCCTCGACACCCTCAAAAACCAACCGAGTTCCACGAACACCCGAACCTGGCCCCTTGAGGGATCAGCGGACTTGTTGCACTTAGCCGGGAGGTGGCCGAGGTAAGTACGAATACTCTCACCGGAGATATCTCACATACATGAGGGTTTCTGAAAATGGGGGACCCTAATATAGTACCCTAAATAGTAGGATCCTTATTATAAGGACCCCCAAAATAAGGTACCCCTAGTTTTCGGAAACTCCCAAACCTCTAAACCCTAAACCCTTTATAGAACCCTTATAGTACCCTTAAAAGTAACCCTTTTTAGGAACCCTCAGGTAACCCCCCCTAGTTTTCGGAAACTCCCACATGTGGTTATCTATTCAACGATCAAACCTCATGTCTGAAGCTGAAATCCTCCTTACTCTAGACCCAAGAGCAACCTAGGGGTTTAGGGGTCCTTTAAAGGGTACCTTTAAGGGTTCCTTTAAGGGATCTATAGGGGTTTAGGGTTTAGGGACCCAAGAGCAACCTAAGAATAAAAAGGGTGCCCTTTTTGGGTTTGAAGGGGCTTCTATTGGAACCTGAACCCTTGAAAAGGGAACAAGGGCCTACTCTAGGTCCTAGTACTCCAGGAATATACCTTAAATCATAGCAGGATCCCAAATATGATTTAAGGTATATTCCTTAATTAAGGGATGTTGGAGTCTCTAGGTCCTAGTACTCCAGCGATAGTCACAGGACACCCTGGCCTGCAGGGCTTCCTTGCTCGCGAAGGTACGCTGCGCGAGGTGTGGCACAACCTTGAAGCAGAGACTAAGTACGCAGGCGGAGAAGGAAGAGACTTCTATGTCCAACAGAGGCTTCATGAAGATTAAGACCCTAAGCCCTATACCCCTATACCCCGAACTTTTAAACCGTGGCTCTATGTGCTCCTTGATGAATCCAACGACAAAGGGGATGCCCCGACCAATGGGATAGCACCTAAACCCGAGGAAGCCCAAACCCGTGCAGAGCGCGGTTTCTATGTGAGGGCTGGGACTTCGGATTCAGAGATGAGGATTTGGACTGTAACTAGGATTCGGGGTTTCGGCACGAAGCAGCAACAACAACCCCCCCCCCTCCAAAAAAAATGCTGCTGAAGGTTCTCCTGCAGCTGCAAGTTGCTTACACGACGACAAATATGCCTGCTACAAGTACTGCTGCTGCCGTGTCTACCAGTCCAAGCAGCCGGGATGTCCAAGCCCTCGAGCCGGCGATTTCGTTCCCGCACGCTGACAAAGCGGCCTGAGGTTTTAGGGAGTTTAGGGGTGTACGGTTTCGTTAGGGGTTTAGGGGTGTAGGGTTTAGGAGTGTAGGGGTTTAGGGTACATAACGGAACTGGCGACAGGAAACACGAGCCACTCGTAACACAAAGGCCCTAAATTTTCAGTTCTCGAAACCCCGTCACCGAAGGCCCACACCAACCCCAGGCTCCCACCCCCAATGTCTACGGGCATGGCTGCATGGGGATCGGGATCCTTCGCATGCACATGCACAGATGTATATCTCGAGTAGATTCTAAGATTACGACTGCACATAGCGTGTGATTACTCTAGGCTTTGCTAGGTGGTAATGACCCCCAAACCCTCACGCCTCGAACTGAAACCCAACTACCTGTAAGTTCTGGACCCCAATCCTGAGCTCTGTGCTGAAGTGCTGAAACCGCTTGAGGCAAGACAAGCCCATCCTCCCCCCTCCCCCCTAAAGCCTAAACCCCAAATCCCTAAAACCCTAAACCCTGAACCCCCGTCCCGCCTGCCCGCTTGTTGTAGATGTCGAAGGCCACAAAATACCTGGGTCGAGATGCCAAGATACTGAACAGGTGAAGGGTTTTTAGAGTGTAGGGTTTGGTTTAGGGCTCCACATCGTTGCCCTTCATATCATCTTGCTGAAGCTCCTGAAGATGCACTCAATACACTACTTCATACTACTTCTAGTCTGATGATGTTGATGAACCTCGCTAGTGCGGCTGGGAAAAACCTTCTGATCTCGGCTTTCTCGCTGCCAGTCTCTGCGAAGCACGAAACGGACTCCCCAAACGGACACCCAACTGTATACTCACTAGTAAATCTCAGGAGCCCTATACAGTCAGCTAAACCCCGGTACAACCCGACCTCATGTCCGCTGATTCTGGAAGCAGGATCCAAATCTCGGGTGCTCAGAGCCTGAACTCCGCTCTCACAGAGGAACCCGGATGCAAACGGAGAAGTTGTCCCAGCTAGAAGCGGACCAGGCGATCATGATTCACCCTTCAAAAAAAATCGTCGAAGAGAACTCTCGGGGGTCAAGGGTGTAGGATCTCACATCCTGCGCTGCGGGTCGAAGCACAGACTGCCGGCAATGTCTTTCAAACTTCGCAACCTAAACCCTGTGTCGGTGGTGCAGATGCTGGGCCCATTCGATTCGATTCGGGCTTTTGGTGCTTCCTGTGTTGGCTCCGAGGTCAAAATGCATAAAGTTCGAGAACTCAGGGCCATGCCTTCACTGCTGGAGGTCGCTTATCCTCACCCTGACTGCAACAGGGGAAGTTGCCACAAGGCTATAAAACCCCAAAGCCAACTGCACGAGTACAATAGCTAGTAGCTAGGGCTCTGGGTTGCGAAAGTTGAGGCGAGGGGTCCCATCCAAAATGACTCGACATGGGACGCCGGCAGCTTCGTGTAGGCAACGCTGTGCCGCGCCCACAGCCACTCCCCGAAGAGGACTTCCACCTCCACTACATACTTAGTTGTCCCAGTGTCCTAGTGAAACTACAGGTCAATGTTTGGGAAACTGTAGGGGTCAGAATAATTACCCCCCAAGAAGGTTAAAGGAGACCTACTCTACTACCTATACTGAACTTAGACCCCCAGCAAAAATCATAATTTTAGCTGTTTCTCAAGGGATTATAACAGCCAAGGATTAAGAAAATGTTTCAAAGTACCCCTTACTAATAGCACATATTTCTAAGTACCCCCTATATAAGTTCTAAGCGTAAGAGGAGTCTCGATTAGAAGCTGCCCCCACCCTGTAATAGTGACTATAAGGATTCTATTAGGGCCCTACTATATTCCTATTATACCACTATTACCCCGAGCCTCCAAAACCCTTTAATTAAGGAATATACCTTAACATCATATTAGGGATCCGATTATATTTTAAGGTATATTCCTCAATTAAGGGGTTTTGGAGGCTCTGGGGGGGCCCCTTCTAAGGTCTCGACCTCAAAGTTAGGAAAGTTGGCATTCGGCTCGGGGTCTCTCGGCTCTGAAGGCTATCGGGGCCTTAATACTTAGACGGAGGTTCCTTTAAAGGGGTCTATAAGGGCTACTATACTATAGGGAT